ACCCCCCCCCCCCCCCGGAGTTTTGACATTAAAGTTTTGGAGCAGAAATCCGCCAGTAACGTTTGTAGAGAACCCCACTATTAAAAATAATCAATTTTCAAAATCCAAAACATGGATTCATTTTAATCATATAAAGTAGTTTTTCAGGATTCCGTTGTTAATAGAACATTGCTGTGGCACTCTTTCTGGAGGCTCACTTAAAGGGGGATTATAAAAATAAGGAAAATACTAGGAGGATTATAAAAATACGGGAATCAAAAAGTGCGGGAATGATGTGAAACAACAGTAAATTGTAATGGAAAGAAATTGCAATATCATTTACTCTCATCTGCGGTAAAACATTGAACCATTCCTTTTATTCTCCTAGAAAGGATTCTATTCTCCTAGATAGGATTCACAAATCCATTTTCGCAGATTTTCCAGATAAAAGTTCGAAGATCATTTTCGTTCAAAGTTTTTAAGAATTTCCTGAACCTTTCAAATCTCATCATATGTTTGGAATAAGCACCGCCCCTCTCTCCCCTTATGAATCGATAGTTGGAAAAAAAAAATTTATCCTTGGATAGATATATATTTGTTTACAAACAAATTCAACAGTTTTTTTCTACTCTAAGGGCGAACCTTTTGAATGTTTAATCTGTGCAGCTCAGCGCTACATTCACCCTTAATTGACAGTTAAATCCTGCAATTTAAAAGTTTACACTATAGAGTTCTAGTTCATTATCTATGATATCCAATAAGATATAAAGCTCTGCAAGCTCTCTCGTAAAAAATCTAAACCAAACATAATAACAACAGAATAACCATGTTCTTCTTTATGTAGAACTTTGTTGAAAATATCTTTTGGCACCATTCACATTATACAATTTTCTGTACAATCCCATTTAAAGATTAAATTTTAACCTCTCTACCTTGAGCATTATAATCTGTGGGATTGAACCCTCTGCCCGGATCCGGATAGACAGTTTGTATCCCAGGAACTCTCCATGAAGTGTATCCGGGTGGGGAGGGTGCCAAGCCAGATGAATTGACGAGCTGCTCTGGTTCCTAGCTTCAGTTATAGTTGGTTTTCCAGTAGGTGTCTCTCTTAGTGTTATCATATAATAGGATTCTACACTTGCCTCAGAGTATCCTACTTCATTCAACGCAACAACCTAAATAATATAAACTGGAACACAACTAAAAAAACCTCACAAAGAATATTTTGCAAGTCCATCAACAGGTAGTTAGTTAAACTTTAAACTCCAAATCAAATTCATTATCCATCGGTTCACAGTGAAAAGAAATTTTAGAAATTAGACCTGAAAAATCTCTTATTTTTATCTTAGCTAAGTAACCCATGAAAAGATGGCAATTCCCGATTCCCGATGGTACCCTGAAAAGTTTGTCTGTTCTGTTTTAATATGAATCAAATATTTATGTTTTTGTTATCTTAAGCTGATTATTTTTTTCCGTGGATTCTTGACAACAGTGACTTTACCCTTCGTTATTGATCAGATGAGTTGTAAGGGTACCGTTGTGAATTAGTCATGCCCCTTGTTAACTGAAGGATAACTTGAAATTACAATGATAAGGAACCTTAGATAAACTATAAAGTTAAAAACTTATCTATACATAACTTTGGCTTGTCTGTCTGTTTGTTTGTTTGTTTGTATCCAATAAACGTCAAAACGGCTGAACCGATCGGGCCCAAATTTTTTGTGGGACATCACGTGACCACAGAGAAGGTTGAAGGTTTATGAATGATAAAAATTTTTTAAAAATGTGTTTTAAAGATTTTTTGTTTTGTAAAAAAAAAATTAATTTCTTGAATATCCGCCAATTTTTTTTTTTAAATCCGCAAAATTTTGTTCTTCTTTGTTTTAAAATATAAACAAAAAGAACATGTTCACAATTTAAATAGAATATGGGCGCGAAGCGCCCTTAAAGCCTAGTAAGAGGCAAAAGGAATTGAGTTTTGCCACAAACTCAAATTTTCTAATCCTTATATCTTGGCAACCTGACGGTGGAAACCCTTGATAGGCTATTTGATCTAACAGAATTCATAGTTTGAAATAATCTAACGTCTACGGGGTTGCAAAGATATAGGTATTAGAAAATCAGAGTTTGTGACAAAGACTCAATTCCTTTATCAAATTCAAAAATCTTTAACTTTTACTTTGACAGTTCCTTCAAATATATGTTTTGGACAAAATTCAAATATTCAGTTTCCTAGATAAGCTGTAAATAATATTGTTGTGGAATAATTATTATGTTTTTATTTCTATAAAAGTTTCTGTATTTATCCTATAATATAAAGTGGAATATCTGGAAACCAAATATAAAAACTAAATGTATTTATATATCTAGCTCTATGTGAATGAAAAGTTAATAATAAATGTTTCGATCTATCTTCATTATGTCAAACAAAATATATATATCAAAAAAGGTCAAATACAACACTTTAAAAAATTAAGAAACTCAAATATTAACATTTATATATGAATTCCCTTGACTCTTGGCAATGTTTTAAAACAACAAACGTCTAAACCTTGCTGGAAATGTCCAAGATAAATTCTATGAATGTCAATCCAGAAAAGTGTACATTTTTTCTTCGAATTTTGTAACTTTACCAAAAACAAAACAGAAAAATTTGCTATATTTTAAATTTTTTAATATTATTGTTTTACTTTGTACTAAAACAAATACTTGCAGCGAAAGCTACAACAAAAACTTTATAAGAAAGAGGGGGCTAAAATTTTTCCATGACAGGGTCGATCCGGTTTAGTATAACTTGCATACACTTGTTTAATTAACCATATCCCTGCACAGGGGTACTTGAAATATTTATATTTTTAAGCAAAATCAAGTTTGATAGTGAAAATGTTTGGATAAAAAAACTGCCCAAAGATGATAAAATATAAATTTTTGAAAAGCCTTTAACCATGCCATTTAAAATATGCAAAAAATTTAGCAAAATTTTAAATAACCTGATGTGTAATTAAGAAAACTAAAAATGTGCAAATTTCTTTTGACGGGTTGCATGCAAATAATTTGCAAAAATTTCTTTGCAAAAATTGTGCAATCCGTTTCCTTATTTCATAGGCTTTCCAAGAACTATCAAAATCTGACAACTGAAAGTGGGTCAAAATCAAGATTTAGTTTGTTACAGGAAAAAGTAGTCACTCAGGCAGTGTGTCTGAGAACTCAGGCAGTCAGTATCCCATACTTGAAATTAACATTTAAATTAGTTGAAACCATCTTCAGTTCTAACTTTAATCAATATTAGAGAAGAACAAGTTTCAAATCGTCATCAACAATTGTTTAAGTTTAATCCAGGGTAAATAATATAAATTAGTGGAATTCAAGGCGCTTCGTGCCCTTTTGTCTTGAGATAAACTTGACTTTTAAAATTTGTTTTCAACCATCACTGTAGAAATTCATTTTAGTTTGTTCTTATACAACCAGTCCGCCCCTACGCGCCCCTGTGTACATATTGCGGATTTCTAACAAATAAAAGACGATATTTTTCCAAAACCATTTCGCGCACCTGTAACCCACTCTTAATCCTAAATACAGAGGGAACAGTTATTAAATAATTAATAATTAAATAAGAAATTATTGACGTCATTCTGATAAAAGCATAATCGGTAAATACTCTCTCAAGACTTTTGTTCTCTTTTCAGCGATGTTCAGTGTTCGAGAAATAAAAAAAGATTAATTAAAATAAAGATAATAAAAGTACCAGTGAAAGATTAAACTGCACCCTAAATCATCGGAAAATATTTTTTTTTTTTACCTTAAAAACTATAAAAGTACAACTAGGCCACATTTTCAAGTAGAAAATATTAACAATTTTTTCAGCACAAGAAAAATTATATTTTTGCAATTTTACTCTACACTCTACACTCTACACTCTACACTCTGCACTCTACACTCTATACTCTACACTCTGCACTCTACACTCTACACTCTACACTCTACACTCTACACTCTACACTTTGCACTCTACACTCTACACTCCATCTAAATATTATTCAAGCTGCACTCTGCATTTTTTGTCTTTGTCGACTTGTGCAAATAAAAGTTTGTTTTTACAAAAATGTGCTGACACTCTAGATTTACAGTTTACATGTTTACCATCATTTTGAAAAATAAAGAAGTTGAAACTGAAAAATGATCCAAAATACTGCATCTTATTTTTGTTTAAAGTTTTGAAGAAATATTGTGTTTTCGCTTTGTCAAATCCGACATTCCTAACAAAGTGAGGTGTAAGTTTAACATACTAGTTGAAGAGACCAGTTTATCAATTTCAAAATAGAAGTTTTGTCAATGAAAGCATCTTTCAACCAACCTACATATAATTAAGCCTTAGAAAGGAAAATTATGTTTATATTAGTAATGATATATGCATGTTTGATATTATTATTACACTGTTAACTCCGGTTGATCTAAAATACACGTCCGACCTGTGGATAGAGCTGGGCAAAGTTCTGTTAACGGAACGGAGGTTTTCGAAAATTAACGGAAGAGTCCGTTAACGAACGGCAAAAACTGTTAATGAAATAATACAAAAAATACCGATTGAAAGCGAAAACGGAACGTATTTTGGTTTTAAAAGCGGTGAATTTAGTTTTTTTTCGGCTAAAAATTGTATTCAACTTTTTAAAAAAGCGTCTTTGATGTGTTTAAATGTCTTCCTCTCTGTAACATCCTAAAATGCTGAAAATCGATTTAACTTTTGTGGAGTGTTTTCCAGCCGTGAAAGAATCTGGGTTCTCAGTCTCCACAGAATATAATAAATATAGAAGGTATCTCAAAAACGGAGGAAGAAGAGTCTACAAATTGTTTGTGCGTGGATTTGCAAGATTTAAAATCTATTTACAATTTCAGATTCAATAAGCCCAATTTTACGCTTGTAGATCTAACAAAAACAATTTAATGGGCTTTCCAAACTAAGTTCCAAGGAGTGAGTAATTTGATAAAAATAAGATAATCTCCGTTTGCACAATTTTTTAAAAGGGTCTACACACTCTGCACTCTACAGACTTGCTTGTAACAGATCCAAGATTGAGACCATTTTTGATATCTACGTACAATTTCCGATTTACTGGGTCTAATTTTTCGCTGGTAAATGTAAAAATTGTATAGGCTCCTAACTAGAGCAAAGTAAAAAGTAAATGAAAATTTCCGTTTGCACAATTTAATATTCACTGTTAGGTTGCAGTCATGTATAATTGTTATTTTTAGATCTAAAAGAGGGCTCATCGAATCGGAAATTGAACGTAGATATCAAAAAAAGGCCTAAATCTTGAAAATCCGATTACAAATGGAGATTATCTTTATTTTTACCAAATTTACTCAATCCAGTCGAAAACTTTAGGAGCCTTTAAGATGGTCATTTTTAGAACTACAAGCCTTGCATTGAGCTCGACATTGAATCGGAAATTGTAAATAAATATAACAAATGGTCTCAACCTTGAAAATCCGATTATAAACGAGTCTGTAGACCCTTATCCCCCTTTTTTTAGACACCCTGTAGTTGATTTGGATAACTAGATACTTATACTCACTCCGCAGAAAAGAATAAACATAATTCAACTGCTAGTGATGATAACGATTTGATAAAACATTAACGCCGTTAATACTACAAAAGACCATTAACGGCTGCACCGCTAATGATTTCATAACCATTAACGATTTTTTTTGTTAATACTGAGTAAACCGTTAACGGCTGCGCCATTAACGATTTCTTTAACCGTTAACGATTTATTGCCGATTCACACCGTTAATATTGAAATAGACCATTAACGATTTATTTAACCGTTAACGACTGGAGTTGTTAACGATTATTTAAACTTTTCTGCGAACGTCTTTAATAAATTTGAAATCCTTCATTAACTGTATTTTTTTTAAACTGTAATTGCCGTTAACAAACAACGGTTCTGTTCTTACCTTTAGAATTAACAGCTTACTGAAATGTCTATTTATTAACGATTGGAAGTATCGTTAATGAAACGGCTAGACACATTTGGAACATGCCCAGCCCTACCTGTGGGCAGGGAAACTATAATAATTTGTACAGTGCACAAAAAAACTATAGAACACGGCACAGTATACCGAACATTCCCTTTTGGTGAGATTAATGTGATTTTATTGTACTGTACTGTAGATAAATAACATGAGATAAATCCCCTTCTAGTGAGATAAATGTCGCTGTACTGTACTGTCCTGTACTGCATTGTACATGAATACCAGGAGATGAATCCCCTTCTAGTGGGATTAATGTGACTGTATCATACAGTCCTGTACTGTTCTGTACTGTACTGTAATGTACATGATACCACGAGATAAATCTCCTTTTAATAAGATTAATGTGATGTACTGTAATGTCCTGTACTGTAAATAAATACAACGAGATGAAACCCCTACTATATAGTAAGATTAATGTGACTGTACTGTACTGTACTGTACTGTACTGTACTGTACTGTCCTGTACTGTAAATAAATACAGCGAGATGAAACCCCTACTATATAGTAAGATTAATGTGACTGTACTGTACTGTACTGTACTGTACTGTACTGTACTGTACTGTACTGTACTATACTGTCCTGTACTGTAAATAAATACAACGAGATGAAACCCCTACTATATAGTAAGATTAATTTGACTGTACTGTACTGTACTGTACCTGATGGCCCTGTTCAACTACTCCACTNCTGTACTGTACTGTACAGCACATAACATAACAAGAGATGAATCCTCTTCTCAGTATAATTAATGTGACTGTACTGTACTGTACTGTACTGTATATAATTACCATGAGTTAAATCCTCTTCTAGTATAATTAATGTGACTGTACTGTATTGTACTTATATAATTAACATGAGATGAAACCCCTTCTAGTAAGGTTAATGTGACTGTACTGTACTGTACTGTACTGTATATAATTAACATGAGATGAAACCCCTTCTAGTAAGGTTAATATGACTGTACTGTACTGTACTGTACTGTACTGTATATACTTACCATGAGATGAAACCACTACTTGTAAGTTAAGGTTAAAGTTAGTTTACCTTAAAGCTATAAACAGTAAAAGGTTGAAGGCCTCGAACTGAGAATTCTGTAGAATTAGATCCTGTTCTTATCTCCTTACTGTACTCCCAGCTGCTATCTTCGCCCATCCTCTGTTTGATGAGGTATCCGAGGACAGGGGAGTTGTGGGAGTCCAGAGGAGGGGCCCAGGAGAGGTTCACTGTCCTTGAGCTGAAGGCCATGATTAGAGGTCGTCCTGGCGTGCTCGGCACATCTAGAAAAGAAATAAAAATTAAAAATAAAGTAAAAAATTGTAAATTTAAGTTTAAAAGTTTCCTGGAGCCGACAGAATTAATTAAAAGTTATGAAAAGTACACAGAAAAATGTCTTTTCTTTTCTTTCCATCTTATATTCTTTCTTTGTTCTTTATTATCTTTCCCTTCCTTTCCTTTCTTTTCTCTTTATCTTCCCCTTTTGTTTTGTTCTTTCTTCTTTTTCTCATACCTTTGGCTTTTCATCTTTCTCATTAAAAATGTTTCCCTCTGACTAGTATAGAATGTTTACCTCTGACTAGTATATAATGTTTACCTCTGACTAGTATATAATGTTTACCTCTGACTAGTATATAATGTTTACCTCTGACTAGTATAGAATGTTTATGAAGATATTGTGATCTTCCATTGACAGTACAGAACCAATCTCCAGTATCTCCTGGAGTAAGCTTACTCAGAACCAAACTGTAGTTTCCTTCCACCCAGGCTAACCTAGAGAACCTTGAGTTAATCATAAGATCCTTTTCAGTTTTGATGATCAATGTCGTTTTTATTCATGTATTCAGGGTTGTTAATCGTTTTTGTAAACGATCGTTAAACGATCGTTTTTTGTTTCGTATTTAAAAACGACCCACTCTTTTTGAACTTTTAGAAAACGAATAACGATTGTTTAAAAAAAACGATCGTTTAAGAAAACGATAGTTTTTGAAAAAAATTTTATTAACAATTATGTTAACGATCGTTAACGAAGGGTCGTCTTTAACGATCGTTAACAAAGGGTTGTCGTTAACGATCGTTGACGAAACGACGAACTTTATAAAAACGGTCGTTTTTGGAAAAAAATTACATGCAACTTTATTGAATGTCGTCATACATGAAGTTTAACAGTTGTGGGGGGAGTTAATTTTCTTAAAAACTACTCAATAATAAGTACATATGCCCTTTCAGGTCGGTTTCCTCTCTTCGTTTATTATCGTCAACGAAAGGGTCGTCGTTAACGAAGGGTTGTCGTTAAAGATCATTAACGAAGGGTCGTCGTTAACGATCGTTAACGATACGATCGTTTCAAAAAAAAGAAAATTTTTAAAAAACTAACTTTTAAAATAAACGATCGTTTTCCAAAAAAAAAATAAAACGTTAACATCCCTACATGTATCCAACTGATTTCTCTATTTTGGGTATGTCAGAAGGGATCCTGGGGATGTCGAGTTCTGGAACAGGTAGGTACGAAGGTGAGGAATGAACAGGACACCCGGACTAACCAGATTGAGAAGCATTCAGTTGCTTTTATTTGAAATCAAACGTATTTTAGTCTATAATTCAACAACATTTAAAATTACGGATTCGTTTATGTTTACTGTTTGTGGCAAAAACTCATTTTCTTAGAAATTACACAACTTATAAATAACGAGACAGCTTATAAATAACGATACAACTTCTAAATAACGAGACAACTTATAAATAACGATACAACTTCTAAATAGCGAGACAACTTATAATTACCAAGACAATTTATAAATACCGAGACAACTTATAAATAACGAGACAACTTATAAAACACAAGACAACTTAAAAAAACGAGACAACTCAAAAATAACGAGACAACTTATAAATAAATTTAAAAACTTCTAAGAAAACTGAAGCCTCAAACTCCTTCTTTCTTTAAAACCTGGCGTACGTGATCGAACGTCGAAACCAAAAAGTCGAAATTCACAACTTTACACCATCAGGTATAAAAATATAGGGATAAGACAACTAGAGTTTCATATATAGGTATCCATACCTGGAGTCTCCTGAATCCAGATAATATCCATCAGCATCAAACCTTGCCTTTTCCTTCAATCCACCTTCAACACCCTCACAACCCCTATAGTTATAACGATAACGATAAAGATAATAACAATGATAACAATAATAATATTATTAGTAATAAGGATAATATTAATAATTATAATAATAATAATATCATAATAATAATGATAATAATAATAATCTAATTATAGTAATAATAATTATAATAATAACAATAATAATAATAATAAGAATAATAACAATATTAACAGCAGAAAATAAAAAGTAATTATGATAATTATATGAAAATTATGACTGTGTTTAATATTTTTTAAATTTTATCACGATTTTTTTACGTCACGTTTTTTAAAAATTATTTAATATAAACCATTAAACGTTTTATATTTTACATCAATGCATTTTGATGTTTAAGGTTTCTATTTTGGAAGGCCTGCACTGGTTTCAAAGAAATGTTTCAAAGAATTCTCTGACGTCAGAATAAATCTTAAACTAGTTTTTTTCAACTATTCTTTTGAATCATGAATATATTTTTGATTGGTTGGTTGAAATTGATTTACAGAATTTAGTTTCTAAAGATGAAATTTTAAGGATAATATAAATTTCTAGGGAAAGTAAAACTAATTAAACATGGTATTTTTAAGAAATATAAATTTTTTTTTAAAAATGAAGAAAAATCTTTTTCTAAGAATTGTATATTCGCTCAGCAGGGTTTTTATGAAGTATTTTAAAGCCTTAAAAAGAGTGGTTAACAACTGGACGAAGTGAAGATAATCAAAATCTATCAAGAAAAGATATCTTATTCTACTTATTTAGTATAAAGAATAGGTAAATGTGATAAAATAAGAAAAACTGTTATAAAAGTTTTAAATGAAGTAAAATATTAAAATTCCTTTCTCCCTGGAATGAAATGCCTTCAAAATATATAAATTTTGAAGTCAGCTGTCTAGGAATATTTGGCAACAACATTTAAAAACTAAAATTTTCTGATGTTCAATATAAAATGTTGATGCTTTACGCCCCTTTATCTAAAAGGTATATTGAACATCTTGGAGGATTTTACAGAAAAACCAGCTGTCACCGATAGAATATCAAGGTCTTTGATGAAAATTTGTGGCCTCCGATAGAATCTTGAAAGGTAAAACCAATGGAGAAAATAAAAAATTGATGTTTTTAGATGTCATAAGGATAGCTTGGTTTTCAATAGGAGGTATTTGTCTAGAAAGGAGGACTGGGGGTCTCCGATGGGATATAATAGAGTTTGGAAAGGAAAACTGTCCGATGAAACATTAATCGTGTGTCTGATAATTTTGAATCTTTATTTGATCGAGTTTTTTTTCTCTTGTCAAAGTGCAACTGATTTTGGTTTTAAAACCCTAAAATTATGGAGGTTATTTTTGAGAATAGAAAAAATATAGTTTTAAGACCACGACTATATATATTTAACTAATAGGTTGTTTGGATCCAATAAACGTCGAAAAATGTGTTAAAGGACTTAGTTCAAATGTCCGGCCAAATTGGTTTATACAGGATCAAAAATGAGATATAATATTTTCCGTGAGCTGCCATATTTCTTATTGTTTTAAAATGCAAATTTTCAGGTAAGGCATTGCTCGAAGTACAAACACTTTTACCTAAATTTTATATGATTATAATTAGACAGGAAAACAAAGTTTTCTGCACAAAACATGATTAATCAGTAGACTCTTGCTATCATTATAATTCGTGAAGTTCAAGTCAGATCAATGCAAATATGTTCTCAATGTGAAAATCAAACTGCTTAATATTTTTAATTTTGCACAGTGTAAAAGTTTAGACAAAGTACATATCTTGATCAGTTTATTTATTTTTTATTAAATTAATTTTCAAGAATTTTGAGAAGTTCTCATTTCCTCAACTGGACTTCTTCTTCTTCTTAATTTTTTAATCTTTGAATAAGAAAAGATGCCATAAAAGACAATGCCCTTATTTTAATTTTGTATGAAATTTTTCTATATGCTGGGGTGGTAAAAATGAGAGTAACAAGGTCTGAAAGTCAAGTCAGTAATTTCACAGAAAAGGCCGTCTTGCTTATTTTGAGATTGCGTCTTTTCTTAGCTTTGTTGACACGTTTTTNTGTACACATGGGGTTGTACCTGCAGAACCAGAGAATTGTATGAAGAGATCTCTCCTCCAGGTCTGCTTCTTTACAGGGCAAAGTGAGGTTGCTTCCTCCTTCTAGTGTGTAGGACTCATGGTGAACACTTCCAGGATCTACAAATATAATTATTATAGTTGGCTGTACACTGTCTTTGGTAATTCAGACGTATGTCAAGCACCCCATTAGGGTGTCCATGACAAAGCATAGTGTGAATAAGAGGACTTTGTGAACCCTGCATCTGTCTTTGGTAATTCAGACGTATGTCAGTTTGACATACATTGTCAATCACACCATTAGGGTTTCCATGACAGTTCATATTGTGTGAATAGTAAACCTCGCAAATTCACGCCGTTATGGTTTCCATGACAGTGCATGGTGTGATTGAAGAACTCAGTAATTCTTGCAGCTGGCTGAGGTAACTGAGATGGATCAATCACACCAAGTGAATAGTTAAATATTAAGGAACTTAATTTTCCTGCTCAAACAAAGCTAAATTTTTTTTAACTTTTCTTTTCTTCTGAAATGACAACCATGTCTTTGATAAATATTTTCTTCTTTTATTCCTCTGTCTAATATCATGCCATCAAATCATAATAAAAATTTACATATTAGAATAAATCTCATATCTACTCTATACATATTTATGCCTCTCTATACTTCTATTTACCTCTTTTTATATAAAAGACTGTATACCTAATTGAAGATGGTTTAAAGCGTTGAATACCCGATACACAACGGTACCTTTGAAAAATGTTGAATTCTAACAATATTTTTCGATGTTTCTGCAGCATAAATCTGCGAATTACTTTTACAAAGAAATCACAATAAAAAATAATCAATACCCAGCTAGAACAAGAAGGATATCTCATTAATCCTAGATCTAATAAATGTGTAAAGGGTACCTTTGTGAATCTGACATGACATATACAAATAGGGGCTGACTTGAAATGATGTCGAGAGTACTCATGCTCTAAACCTCTCTGTACCTCTCTGTACCTCTCTGTACCTCTCTGTATCTTTCTATTCCTCTCTATTCCTCTCTGTACCTCTTTGTACCTCTTTGTACCTCTCTGTACCTCTCTGTAACTCTGTGTACCTCTCCGTACCTCTCTGTACCTCTCCGTACATCTCTGTACCTCTCTATACCTCTCTGTACCTCACTATATCTCAATTGGAAAGACTGATTTATTGATTTGATAGAAAAAGACATAAAGAGGAGGATATTGTTGAGATAATAGCAGTAAGAGTCAATAACAAGTTGAGTTACTTTATTATGAAAAATTAGAATCACGCAAATTAATTTTAAAAGTATCAGAGATTTAGTGAAATTTTTCTTTAAAAGTAATTTTTTCCAAAATTCGTATCTTTTTATTTCCAAATTTTAGATTCTTATTTTTAAACCAAAAAGACAAAACAAATATTTCTAATCTTTCAAATTTTTTTGTTTTGTTAGATTTTCCTTTTTAGCGCATTTCACATTATACAACCTTTGTTGTGTTGAAGGGATTCCTGTCGATATCTCTAAGCTGGACACAGGAAAACTTTTTGTAAACCTTCCGAAAATTGTAAAAACCTTTCCGCAATCCCTAGGTAGGTATTGTGAGTTTATTCTAGTTTCGGAATTTAATTTAGGTTTAGCTTTACATTAATCCATGGAGTTGAATGTAACCTCATGAAACCCATTCCTATCACGTACCTTCTTCAGATTTTGTTCAGATGAGGGTGAAATACGTCATGTGGATTTTTGCAATCTAACCTTTCTTTATTTATATCAATTTGTGCACAGGCATAGACATTATATTCTTTACCCAATGTAAAAAGAAAAGAAAGAATACTAAACTATTTGTTTGTTTTTTCTACCCTACTTTATTTACATTACTTTACTTTACTCTACCTTACTCTACTTTACTCTACATTACTCTACTTTACTCTACATACTTTTCATAACTCTTTATTACTCTACTTTACTCTACATTACTCTACTTTACTCTACTTTACTCTTCATTACTTTTCTTTACTCTACATTACTTTACTTTACTCTACATTACTCTACATTACTTTACTTTACTCTACTTTACTCTACATTACTTTATTTTACTCTACTTTACTCTACATTACTTTACTTTACTCTACTTTACTCTACATTCCTTTACTTTACTCTACTTTAATCTACATTACTCTACATTACTTTACTTTACTCTACATTACTTTACTTTACTCTACTTTACTCTACTTTACTCTACATTCCTTTACTTTACTCTACTTTAATCTACATTACTCTACATTACTTTACTTTACTCTACATTACTTTACTTTACTCTACATTACTCTACTTTACTCTACATTACTTTACTTTGCTCTACATTACTCTACTTTACTCTACATTACTCTACATTACTTTACTTTACTCTACATTACTCTTCATTACTTTGCTTTACTCAACATTACTTTACTTTACTCTACTTTACTCTACATTACTTTACTTTACTCTACTTTACTCTACATTACTTTACTTTACTCTACATTACTTTACTTTACTCTACATTATTTTACTATACTACTCTACTTTACTCTACATTACTTTACTTTACTCTACTTTACTCTACATTACTTTACTTTACTCTACTTTACTCTACATTACTTTACTTTACTCTACTTTACTCTACTTTACTCTACATTCCTTTACTTTACTCTACTTTAATCTACATTACTCTACATTACTTTACTTTACTCTACATTACTTTACTTTACTCTACATTATTTTACTATACTACTCTACTTTACTCTACATTATTTTACTATACTACTCTACTTTACTCTACATTACTTTACTTTACTCTACTTCACTCTACATTACTTTACTTTACTCTACATTATTTTACTATACTACTCTACTTTACTCTACATTACTTTACTTTACTCTACTTTACTCTACATTACTTTACTTTACTCTACGTTACTCTAATTTACTTTACTCAACTTTACTCTACGTTACTTTACTTTACTCTACATTACTTTACTTTACTCTATTTTTACTCTACTTCTTGGTTCCCTAATAACCCAATGTACTCATGTTTGCTTAGAGATAAGAACTTTCAGTTTTTTTTTCATTTCGTTCGTTTATCGTTAATAAATGACCCATTTTGTAAGTTTTTTTTTCAATTGTTACAAAAAAATTATTTTCTTAATTCCTACAATTATCGTTCATTTTGTATTTCAATGTAGTCCAATGTACTTCATGTTAAACTCTTGTGTACCCCTTTGCATGCTATGTACTCCACTTTACTTCGTTGTTATATTTTTTTATTTTTTATACTCCCAACCCCAACTCCCAGGTGCTCTGTTGAACTCCCCATCTCCCCTTGTATTCAGGTGTAGTTTATTACCATCAAAGAATTCTATTTAAAAAATCTATAAAACAGTTTCAAGCACGCATATCCAAAATTACATTCTATCAAGTTTCAGACTGATATCATGACATGCATTATTCAGATTTTCCCTCAAATGCGCATACTAAAGGAATTGTCAATTATAACGATCGATTAATTAACTGTAAGGGTTTTGGTAACAATATGAATAATTCTGAAAATTGTCTTCCCTGTATCAACTGCATACATCCTTCAAAGAGAACCCGTCAGTGAAAATTGTCTTCAAGGATTTCGTTATAATTTTGTTTTAAAAAAGCGTTATTAACCCTATTCCTGCTGGGGGGGGGGGTCAATTTGCCCCCCCTGTAGTTTTTTTAAATATCTCAAAAAGTTGAAATTTTCTGACTTTTCCTACATACCAAAAGCCCTCCCTTTAGGCCTAAAACCTGGCTTTAATACTAACTGACTGAGTCCTCAGGCACAATGTATAATCTTTCATTTTTTGGACAAATTTTATTTTGCAAACATTTTTACTATATAACTGGATTTTGCGATAAAAAATTCAATTTTTGCAAATTTGCAAATTTTTTTGCAGATTCTAAAAGTAGAGCACAAGAGCTTTCCATGAGGTATCATTTGTCATATTTGGACATCAACCATGGGAATTAGAAGGGGGGTCAAATTGATCCCCCCCCCAGCATATCCTGGTTTTCAAGTACCCCAGCAGAGATAGGGTTAAACATAACTATTTAAATTCAATATCACCCTCACCTAAGATTACTTTAAAAGAACCTCAATGATAGAATTTTATATCATTTTTATAAAACATGTGATTCTCCAGGTTCAATTAAAAGGTTTATTAAAAGAAATATTTGCATCTGCATCACGTTGAAACAAACCCTTGCTACTGTAATAAAAATGAAATATACAGATGTATACAATACATTTTTTTATGTTCGTTAAAAAGTGTTAAATAGTTAATACTGTTGAAATTTACAAAAATTCTAAAGCAAAATCTCTTTGTCTGAAATGTTTTATCTACAATTTATTTACTAGCAAACGCAGCCTTAAATACTTTATACATGTGTAGTTTGTACAAATAGCTTGGGAACCCAGCTTAGCCTGGAAACAAGATTACTCCCGACTTTTACCCGCCCTTCAACGATTTTACCGGGAAACTAAATTTTCGCTATTAAAGTCCACCTGTAGGTAATGCCGTACTTTAAAAAGTTCGTCCCCCAAACTGTGTCAGTCCAGAATTTATAAAACCGAGCTAAGAGTATTAGCGTAGTTCTCCCGATGTTCCCAATCAAATTTTAAAGCAAATCGGTCTAGAGGTTCCTGAGTAATGATCGGACAAACAAACAAACAAACACCAAAACAAATAAACAAACAGAAAAACAGCTAGATTGAAACTTTATATATAGATATCGCTTGCGTCATGCATAGTATGATAGAAATACAACTATACTGCACATCTAAACCTAGACTTGTAAATTATCTTTTATTTGTTATTATTATATTTGTCTAATATTAATAATACTATTTGTGAATATATTATATCTGCATAAAGCTGGTATAAGAATAGTATTGTATATAGTGGATATATCTTATCTAAGTTGCATATCAGAACCCAGATAAATCCTTTCCTTCTGTTGCTATTCATGAGAAATAAAATACAGATGGAACGAAATGTGCACCTCCAAACTTTGGTCTTAACCCCTGAACCCCCCTCCCCTCCACCC